GGGTCGGAGAGCGGGCCTCCAGTCAGACGGGGGGGGGGGGACCTGCCTGATGGGTTTCCGCGCGTCCCCTTCCCAAGTCTGCCCGTGTGCGGCCTGCAGCCCTCGTGCTGCTGTGCCTGGACTGTGGTCTCCAGTTCATCCGAGGGGGACTTGCCCACCACAGTCGGCAGCCAAAGGCCCTGACCCCCGTGGCGGGAGGGAGGCCCGAGGGCAAGAAGCCCTGCCAGGTGGTGCTCCTCCTGAGGGCCCCCTCCGACAGAGGCGCTTGGCAGGCCTCCTGCTGGGGGATGCCCTGAGGCTTTGGGGGCCACCAGGGGCCTGGCTCTCCGCCTGCTCCCCTCCCCTCTTCCACGCGGGGGGGGGGGGGGGTTGTTGTGGGGGGGGGGGGGGGGGCAGGGGCCTTGTCTGCAGCAGCCTCTTGGAAGCCAACAGATTTGCTGGGGCACGAAGGTTTGTGATCTCTCGCCCAGGCCTAAGCCAAAGGTCCAGCGCCAAGGGACGCGGGCGTGTCTGATAGGGACACTCCCTGGACCCGCATTCCTCCCACCCCACTTTGACAAGTGTGTCTTCACAGCATTGCTAAATGGCTGTCAAGTTACCCCGTCAGTCACCTTTTGCCTACTGCTGCGGCGTTTTTTCTCAAGGAAATCCAGCCGCTCGATTGCACATCTTAATTGCAGGGCAGGTGCTCTGCCAAGCCCATTTCCACAGGAGCTGCTCAGTTTCTGTTGTTTTACGTCAGGCGGGGTCCTTCCCGGCATTCCAGCCATTATGCCACGGTCTTCCTCGCAGGCCATATAACATGCGGGCAATGGATAAAGGGCTCTTGATGTAACTGGATGTGTGGTCTCTGTACAAAGTAGAGGGATCTAGGCTGCCCTTGGCCCGACTTGGGAGGGTCTTCATTTCAGTACCTGCTTGTGGAGGAAGGCACCCTTGGTCTGTGGAATCCTCCTTAGGGCTGCAGTTTGTCAGGCGGCTTTGGTTGCCATCCTTTTTCTGAAGCAAGCTGAGATCCGTAAAATCCACGAATGCATTTCTTGTGATCGGGCTCTGCGTGGAGCACGGCATTTCTCACATTGTTCCTGTGATCTTTTGCAAGTCACTGCAAAGTGGAGTCGGAAGAGATGACTTTCCCAAAAAAGAATTCTGTGAAACTGGTTTGGGGCTCCACTCCCCCCCCCCACCGTATCAGTTTTCTCAGAACAGCAGGTCTCCCCTCCCCCACACGACTGTTTGAAGCCAAAGGGAGTTTCAGAAGAGGCAGAATGAAGCTTGACTGGTGGGAGCCCCTTCTGCAAATGGAGCAGCTCTCTGGACCACAACCCAAATCAAGAGGCAGGGAGTGCCCCTGGCAGGGTGGCCTGCTGGGCCTGTGGACACCACAACCTCTCTCTCGCTTGGCCCAGGGTTTAGTGGCTTTGCAGCCTATCTGAAGAGAAACCAGAGTATATGTTCCCAGGTGGCATCACTTGGTTACCTGATGCAAGTGATCAGGCTGCAATCGTACTATTACACGGATATGCTGCCTTTTCTGCCATCTGTAGTGGTTCAAGATAGCTTACCAAAAAGAAAAAAGAAAACCCCGGGCAACAGAAAACAGCCCAAGCCCAGCCAAGGGGACCACTGATCTGCCAAACATTTCCCAGAGAAGAACAGGCCTGCGGTTCCTGAAGATTGCTTGTAGTGTTGGGGCTGGAGCCACCACTGGCAAACCGGGGGGGGGCGGGGGCAGGGGGGCACGCAGTGGACATGGAGGCAGGCCATTCCGCAGGAGGGCTCAGGTAGGTGGGGGCCATGGGAGAATCTAAACGGGCCAACGGGCAAGGCCCTTCAAGCAGGGGGACCCCAGATTGTGTTGTGCTTCCAAGGTCAAGCTTGGCCTTTTGGGTTGGGTTTAGGAGAATAGGGTGACCAATGTTCCCTCTAAGCTGTGGAGTCTTGTGAGCAAAAATTCTACTCCGTGAGCTACTGACATTAAAGTGGTGAGCGAGCAATTTGGCCGCTGCATCAGTTAGTTTGCTCTGGAGCCATCCTTCCTGAGCTAGGACAAAAGTGTGTGAGCCGAAGGCTGAAAAACTGTGAGCTAGCTCACACTAACTCAGCTTGGAGGGAGCACTGAATTGGTGACCCAAGTTTTAGAGCAAGCAGCTCCAGCCGTTTGTGCACGAAAGGTGACTTTGGAGCAGCCTTCAAGGGAAGCCCCACCAAGTCTTGGAAGTTGCAGAAGCACAGACCGGCCCCTGCACTTGAGCAGAGGAAACCCCTTCTGAGTGGCTGGCTCTCTTTACTGTTTATTTTATTTATTTATTGGATTTATATCCTGCCCTCCCCTTGATGGGCTCAGGGTGGGTTCCAACAGTAGAAAATACAACACAATTAAAACCATTTTAAAAAACACGATATAAAATGACATAATCCATATGTGTCATACAACTCTAGTAAAAGCCAGATACCTCAGTGGTTGATGATGTTAAAACTTTGGGTTTTGTATTAAAGATCTTTAAGATTTGGAATCTCAAGGACCCGGGCTACAGACGGGGGCCAACCCAAGGAGGGGGACGCCGGCTGCCGGAACCAAAAGCCTGCCGCGGAAGAACTCCGTCTTGCAGGCCCGGCAGGATTGTAATAAATCCCATAGGGGCCAGTTTGGTGTAGTGGTTAAGTGCACGGACTCTAATCTGGGAGAACCGGGTTTGATTCCCCACTTCGCCACTTGCTCCTGGCTGGATGACCTTGGGCAAGCCGTAGCTCTGATAATGCGCTGTTCTTGAAAAAGAGCAGTTCCTGTCAAGAGCTCTCTCAGCCCCACCTACCTCACAGGGTGTTTGTTGTGGGGAGTGGAAGGGAAAGGAGTTTGTCAGCCGCTCTGAGACTCCTTTGGGTAGTGAAGGGCCATGGAGTATAAACCCAATCTCCTCCTCTCCTCCTCCATCTTAGTCGGGAGCTCATTCCGCCAGGCAGGGGAAAGCCCTGGCCCTGGTCGAGGCAAGTCGGACGTCTCTGGGGCCAGGGGCCACCAGAAGACAGGGCTCATATAAGAACATAAGAACATAAGAGATGCCAATGTTGGATCAGGCCAAAGGCCCATCCAGTCCAACACTCTGTGTCACACAGTGGCCAGAAATACCAGGGGCCCTCAGGAGGTCCACCAGTGGGGCCAGGACACTAGAAGCCCTCCCACTGTTGACCCCCCCCAAGGACCATATGGAGTAGAGGGGGTCCTCTCTGTGCTATTATCCCTAGGCTTGGTCTTGGATATATTCTATCATGTACCTTGGAAATTATGATCACTAGTTAAAAATTGCAGTGCCGCTTCATCATCGGTGAAAACTCTTGGTGGGGATCGATCACAGTGGTCGTACGACACTAGAGAAAAATTGTGAATATGAGTTGTTAAGCATCTAGGTTGTATTGTGCTTGTGGCATGAAAGCCTCCAAAGGGGTGATGTTATGGAATGTCCATAAAATTTCAACTGCTCAGTCCGGAGTGCATCTCCTTTTGAGGGGAGCTATTAGAAGTTGACAGAGGTCTATAGAGGAAGGAACTCTGACAGACTAAGGACCAGAAAGCAGACTGAGAAGTCTGGAAAGGGAGAGTGTCTGAAAGGCAGTAAAGGAAAAGAGGAGCCAGCGGACTGAATTCCACATACTGATGTGGACTAGGAAGCCAGTCCTTTAGCCACAGGCTTCTAGAATTCCCTAAGTACCATTCTGGCCCAGTGAGTACCCCCTTGAAGCACAGAGTCTGTACTGAGCAGTCGGACAAAATCCCACCGCACTCTCCCTTTTCCGGAGTAGAGATCCGAATAGGCACCTGCACTTGCATTCCACTGTGCCTGCGGAGCAAGGCTAACTTTCCTGTAAAGCAGGAATCTCTGCTGGGCCCACATTCCATGGGTGCAGCAATAACAATAAGCATAACATTCCAGTAAGGCCCGAAGTAACAGCCACCATCTCATTACACTTGTAGTCAGATAACCGTGTTTGTGCAATGATCCAAGGAGCAGTATTAATGCAAACATCGCCACACCTTCCTCAGACTTTGGTTGCCTGTTTGATCTCTTCGGGAGCAAGGAGCAACTCCCAGCCCGCTGATGGTTACAGGGGAACCGTTGTCCCTTCTGCTCTACCATACAGAGTTGACCCAGCCATGGGATCACCCTTCCATTGAGCTCACTGAAACTTAGGTGGGAAGCATGACAATCCCGTGCGGACTGGGGAGGGGGTGTTGTGTTAGAGCCAAGAAACGTACCACCAGGCGTATAAGAGCACTCACGCCGAGCATTCTGGAAGTGGGCAGTGAAGTGAGTTTTGAGTGTTTGCCCCTGCCAGTAATCGGTCTCCACAAAGTCATTCTGGATATTGTGTGGTATTTATTTAATCCACCTACAAGGCAGGGGCTTGTCCCGAGTTAGTCCAAACCGGTCTCTGTGCTGAGTCATTGTTTCCTGCAGTGATTTGGATCCTGCCCGCCTGCCCTCCTCCTGACCACGGGGTCTGTGCTTCCCGCTGTCAACTGTTGTCATGTATTAAATTTATAGACTGCCTTCCCCAAAGGGCTCAGGGTGGTGCACAACAGGTTAAAATACAGATAAGTTAATTCCATTTACAATAAAATTAGCAGCACTAATCGGTGGCATAAAAACCCTCGGGTGGATCAGGGACTGGTCGTGGAGGAGGCCGAGCCACACTGTGAAACTGTTGCTGCCTTTGGCTGAAGGCCCGGTGGAACGTCTCTGTTTTACATGCCCTGCGGAACTGAGCGAGGGCAGGTATGTCATCAGGTAGAGAGTTTCACTGGGCTGGAGCCGGGGTCAAGGACAGCCGGCTGTCTTTTGAGCCAGGGACCACCAATACATGTTGATCTTCCAAGCACAAGGCTCCTTGGGGAACATACTGGGAAAGGGTTGTTGTTGGGGGCACCGGAGGCACACAGAGTAGGTCCAGGGAGAAGCAGCTGTAGCAAACCCAGCGTGGGACCTCCACCTCTCTTCTCTCGCTTACCTGCCTGGAGCACCCTGCCCTGGCGCAGCCGCTGAGGAAGGGAAGCCTCCCCTCCCTCCTCCGCGTTCTGAAACGTGTCTCTGGGCGGATTCTGGACAGAACTGCCTTAGGCCTGTGCAGCCTCGTTTCTTCGCTCCCAGGCTGTTGTGCTGAGCACCCTCCCTGCTGCGTGCCAGAGTGAGGTGGTCCTGTGCCATGTACCCCATGGACAGTGTTCCCTCTAAGCTGAGTCAGTGTGAGCTAGCTCACAGTTTTTTAGCCTCCAGCTCACGGGTTTTTGTCTCCGCTCAGGGAGGAGGACTCCAGAGCAAACTGATTCATGCAGGAGCTGAATTGCTCGCTCACAACTTCAATGCCGGTAGCTCACAAAGTAGAATTTCTGCTCACAAGACTCCATAGCTTAGAGGGAACATAGCCCATGGATGTTCTGGCTGGGGTTGAATGCTCAGGAGGACTGCACTGGTGTGTGTGGGGGGGGGGGGCTGTCACTTGCTTCTTTCTTGCATGGAATCTTTTTTGAGGGATGTCTGGGCTATTAATGGAACAAAGCTCGAGTCCAGTCGGGCACCTTTAAGACCAACAAAGTTTTATTCAAGGTAGGAGCTTTCGTGTGTGTGTGTGTGTGTGTGTGTACTGAAAACTTATACATTGAATAAAACTCTGTTGTTCTTAAAGGTGCCCGACTGGACTCAGACGTTGCTCTGCTCACTACCCCACCTGGGTGACTGAGGGTATAAGATGGCGCCAGCGGCTGGGGCACGCTGAGGCCGGGGAAGCTTCGAATGGCGACTGCCTGTGGCATGCCCCTGGTGCCCCCCCCCCAGTCCTCCCGCTGCATCCGGTGTGTGCCAGCAGGGCTCGCTGCCAGCATGCCCCCAGGCACACGGGCATATCTCTAGACAGGCTGTCATCAGGCTGAGTCATCCTTTTTACAGTGGGGCTTGGGTGGAGCTGGCCCGGTGCCCTCTGGCACCAGCTCTGGTGTCCACAGATTGCAGCCAGGCTAGGCAGCCAACTTTATGGTCCACTAGACAGCTGCAGAGTCAGATGCTACCACAATACTTCCTGTAACTGCAACTCCCAGACTCAGGGTACTGTACATTACCTACTAATAAATGGATTTAAAAAAAACTGAAGAGAATCAAGCTCACCGCATTCAGTGTTTTCCACAACAAGTTTATTTAAATGTATCAGTGGCTTCATGTCTCTCCCGCCTTTCTCCCAAAGTGGCTTACGTCGTTCCTGTGAGGTGGGGGAGGCTGAGAGTGGGGGACTGGCCCCAGGTCACCCAGCGTGGGTCTCCCAGAATCCTAGTCAGTCCCACACACTCTAACCACTACACACCTCACTGGCTCTAGTGAACACAGGAGATTATTTTTATTTCTAACCTGTGATTAAGTTTGTAAAGTTGGCTGTTTCCACCTGAGGGCACATAAAGGGGGGGGCATCAGTAGGCTGCCATTCCTTCCCCCACCAGTGTCACCCCTCCAGTTTGGTGAGCCAGGTTGGTGTCGTGGCTAAGTGCGCGGACTCTAATCTGGGAGAACCGGGTTTGATTCCCCACTCCTCCACTTGCACCTGGCTGGATGACCTTGGGCAAGCCATAGTTCTGACAAGAGCTGTCCTTGAAAAAGAGCAGTTTCTGTCAAGAGCTCTCTCAGCCCCACCTGCCTCCCAGGGTGTCTGTTGTGGGGAGGGGAAGGGAAAGGAGTTTGTCAGCCGCTCTGAGACACCTTCGGGTAGTGAATGGCCATGGGGTATGAATCCAATCTCTTCTTCTTCTTTTTCTTCTCCACTGTACTGGCACTGAAGTGTCAATGCGATGGTGGGTTCCCCAGCTGGCTCAAATAGCATATAGATTCTTTACTAAACTGATATCTTTCTCTTCTCGCCAGTGGGACCCAAAGTAAATCCCGCACCCTTCTCCTCTCCGCCCTCTCATCCTCACAAGAACCCTGAGAGAAACGTTAGGCTGGGACCAATGTTCCCTCTAAGCTGAGTTAGTGTGAGCTAGCTCACAGTTTTTTCGCCTCCGGCTCACACATTTTTGTCTCAGCTCAGGAAGGAGGGCTCCAGAGCAAACTCATTTATGCAGCAGCCAAATGGCTCACTCACAACTTTAATGCCAGGAGCTCACCAAGTAGGATTTTTGCTCACAGGATTCTGCAGCTTAGAGGGAACATTGGCTGAGACTGATTGCCCATCAAACGTCCGTGGCAGAGGGAGGATTGAAACCTGAGTAACCAGGGAAAACCTTCATTCTGTTACGTTTTCAGATTCATACAAAGCATCCATGCGGTATATCATTTGAACTTATTATAAACACTGTGTGTTTTTTTCTAAAGGGGCCAATATCAGCGTTTAGCTTAAATTCTCTCCAAAAGAATTCTTTACAGACGTTAAGATTATTTGATAAGTTTTTGAGGCATTCTGTGGCACCTTAAGGACCAACGCTTCCTTGGGGACAGTTTCTCCAGAGGAGAAGAAGAAGAAGAAGTTATTTCAGTGACTCACGCAAGCTCCTCCCCTGCTACAAATTCTGTTAGTCTTGAAGGTGCTCCTAGACGCCTGCTCTTTTCTGCTGCTCCAGAGGAGAAGGGCCAGAGCTCCGTTTAGAGCAGGTACTTTGCTGCAGAAGGTGACCAGGATCATGCCCTGGTATCTCCAGGCAGGGGGGCCTCAATCTTCATGTCCACTGCTGGTCAGAAGAGATAATGATGACAGACCGTCATACGTTCAAGGCTGTGATCCTGTACACAACTGCTTGGGCATGAGGCCTGTTATAAACCCAGTGGGGCTTATCTCTAAGTAAATATGCACATGGCCGGACTGAGCATCACTGAAATGCCCTGGCCTGTGACTTTGGAAAAGCTTCTTAGTGGAAATCAATAGTAAATCTGGTTCTAGCTCTTACCTGCCCGATGGCACAAGAGCAGACGCACATTGTAATGGCACCGTGCGGCTTCTCTCCCCCCCCCTCTTTCTGGCTGAGAAGATATCAGGGCAGGAAGGGATTCCAAATACACTGCAGGGGTTGCTTTGAGGCATGTGACGAAACAGCCATGGGCCGAAAATAAAAAGGAAAACCAGCTGCAGGCCTAGGGACGATGAGGCTTGTAAAGGCACAGCACAGGGGACGGCCTTTCCTTCTTCAGAGGCCGTTAACAGGAAACCTTCCTTGTCACCGGGCAGGTGCTTTTGTGGAACTCTGCGTCAGTTCCACCCGGCTGCACCATTTTATCTTTGTAAATCTGCTTGTCCTTCTACACAAGGTAGGCACCAAGGCCTTCGGCTCACAGCCTGAAACGCCCACACACATGAATAGCTGGAGAAGTCAAAAAGCTTGAATGCTCTTCTTGTTGTTTGGGTCCCTCAGAAGAGATGATGGCTTTTGCATTGGACCCTCATAGCCACCTGCAGCCTCTTTCCCACGGATATTGCGGTTCATAGGGGCATAAAGGGATGTTACCGATCAGGTGGTGTTCTTTAGTGCTGTGAAGAGCTTCGGCTGCCCGATTCCACACATGAAGACTCTGCTAAAGGGACGGGACACATGGGAAGCAGTAGAAAACACACACACACACACACACAGGCATCACGGTGGATTGGAACGGCAGTTCTGGGCTGGATCCAGGAAGGCTCCACCTCTCCGACTGAAATAATTCGGTCTACGTTCATTCTCAAGATAAGTTCCTTGTCCCAAAGGCTGGACTTTAAAATTCAGGGGAAAGGTGTCTCTGACTCTGGCACTTCCTTTTCCCTTAGGCTTGCAACTGTTCCAGGCTGTTCTGAGTACAACTGTGATCCCCTTGTGCGCCTCAAATGACACGGACACCTGCACGACTGCTCTGGGTGAGTGGCTCTTTCATCCCCCCTGAACCACCTTTTCGGAATGCTGCTGGAATTCTTTCCCTGCTTGCTGGGCTAAAAGTAGGATTAGCCTACATTTCCCTTTTTCCAAAGTTTAGATAAGCTTCTTTTTCATGTGTAACGCCAAGTTCATTGATGGTTCTGTGGTTGGAGATGGTTTTGAAAGATTGTCCTCTAACTGGCCAGGTAGCATCGGAAGGCTGTAACAAAGCTCTGATTGTCTGGAGAGACCCAGCACTTGAAGACAAATCCATTTTCAGCCGTCTGAAATGTTCATAGTAAAGCGTCTCAAAATAATCTTTGTTAGTTAATCCAATGCATTCCCAATCAAAATCAATCACCCAGACAGTCAAGGTCCTATCCTGGAATTTTGGATACATTCCAGTTCAAAGAGGTAATGTATAAATTTATCCAGGCTTTAAAAATAAGTTGAAGCATGAGAAGATATATGTCAGGCTCCCCACAGCATCAAGGCAGTACACTCTTGTAGAGAAGGGGTTACTTTATTTGAAGCTGTAGGTGCATGTACAGAATCACTGTTAGGTATGAGAGACATTCAAAGAGCATGGCATGTTATATGACATTTGAAAAGCTGAGGCCCAATTGCGGGGTTTTCCATGCGCGCCATTGAGCCTGGGAGTGAAACGCTTCTAGCCAACATAACAACTTTCTTCCCACGGCCGAGCCGAGAGATCGCCTAAGCAACTATCAAGCAGCGAACCACCTGTGGCCTTGAGAGATATACATGTTCCTGCAGTCTAGCAATTAAGTGCATCAACACATCTACAAATGGGGAAAAAGCAAGCATGCGCATACCGCGGATGTCAGAAAAGAACTTTTGGCAGCTTGCTGACAATATATTAACAAAACATATTCTGTATTGCAGTCCAAACAGGCACTAGTCAACGTGTAGCTCAAGTTGGGATCACACGATGCAGATCCGAAATGCAAAACTTCTGCTTCAATGGGCGCTGCATGTACCTTGTGGAATTGGATCAGCATTACTGCAGGTAAGAGAAATGCTGTAGAATAAAGAAGAAGAAAAGAGATTGGACTTATACCCCGCCCTTCACTACCCAAAGGTGTCTCAGAGCGGCTTACAAACTCCTTTCCCTCCCCCTCCCCACAACAGACGCCCTGTGAGGTAGGCGGGGCTGAGAGAGCTCTTGACAGAAACTGCTCTTTTTCAAGAACAGCTCTTATCAGAACTATGGCTTGCCCAAGGTCATCCAGCAGGTGCAAGTGGAGGAGTGGGGAACCAAACCCAGTTCTCCCAGATTAGAGTCCGCACACTTAACCACTACACCAAAGAAATAAAAGATCTGGCTCTTTGTTGGATTCAGTCTTTTCAGCTAAGCAGATTCAGAGAGTCATTACTGGAAATCTGAAATCCTGTCTGGGTTTTGTGGTGTGGAATACCACTGGGGTCTCTTTGGTCCATGGCTCAGTGGAGGAGTGGGGAACCAAACCCAGTTCTCCCAGATTAGAGTCCGCACACTTAAACCACTACACCAAACACTGTTGCTAGCAGTTAGCATCATCTGCAACTTAGCATGGCCCTCCAGCTAATGTGGATGTGTGCGGTTCCTTGACCTTGAACAGGTGAATGCTCAGAGAAGGGAAGTCCAGCCTGTTTCTCCCCTGTGACCCCTTAAAGACAAGCATCAGCCACCCTTCTGCTGTTAAAGGCTAGGACTTAACACATGGGATTCACTGCCACAGGAAGTGGTGGCGGCTACAAGCATGGACGGCTTCAAAAGGGAATTAGATAAGCATATGGATCAGAGGTCCATCAGTGGCTATTAGCCCCAAGGTATAGATAGGGGCTCTGGGGCAAGTGATGCTCTGTCTTCTTGGTGCTTGGGGGGGGGGTCAACAGTGGGAGGGCTTCTAATGTCCTGGCCCCACTGGTGGACCTCCTGATGGCCCCTGGTATTTCTGGCTACTGTGTGATACAGAGTGTTGGACTGGATGGGCCTTTGGCCTGATCCAACACTGGCGTCTCTTATGTTCTTATGACTTCGGGTGGGCCCTTCTCTCTCACCTGTTTCTGAAACTCTTTGCATTTTAAATGTCCCTCTGAGTTCCTGTCAAGGTTACTTGCATGTGTAATTTGTAAGAAATAGCGGGCACAGACTTGGGGCACAATCTAGCCACAGCTAAACACTTTAAAGTCTTATTAATTTCAATGCAACAGAGTAAGGCTGCAGTCCTGAGAACACTTTGCCGTGAGGAAGCCCTGATGGATAAAAGGGGACAGTTCTGAGCAGACGAGCTTCAAAGAACTACACGTTCAACTCTCTGCTGAAATCAGTGAGACTCCATGTAGGACGGAGAAGGTCATCAAGCTGAGAACCCGAGTGGTGTCGTGGTTTGCGGCAGACTAGGATCAAAACTAGACTGAGTTCAAATTCACGTTATGCCATAAAGCTTGCTGGGTGGGTGACCTTGGATCAATTGCTCCCTCTCAGCCCGACCTATTTCACAAGGTTGTTGTGAAAACTAAATGGGGGGGGGGCTGTGTGTGCCAGTCTGAGCTCCTTAAAGGAGGGGTGGAGTGAAAATGCACTAGAGAGATCATCACATCTGGTTCTCCATCTGAAGGGGGCAGACCTGCATGCCAGCTGGGGGGATGCCGGGGGGGACGGGGACACGGCTGCTTCTACTTGATTTATTTGCTTTATCAAAGTGTTTATACCCTCCCCCACTTTCCTTCTAGCTTATTTGAGTAATTATAAACCACCACCCCCACTTTCCTTTTAGCTCAAGGTGGCCTACAGGTTAATTGGGGCATTGATCTTTTGACACCGTTCTGTCGTGTGCTTTTAGTCTGAAAACTCTCACTGTAAGCGGCTCAGTTATCTCTGCTTTTGTGCGTTTGCTGGACTTTTTACATTTTGTCTTTTTAATACTAGATTTTTAATTAATAATGTTTAATGTTTTATATTCTGTTTCTTTGATAAGCTGTCTTGGGGAAGCTCCCTTGAGGGATGGCACACAATTTTCTGAATAAATACAGATCACAATTTAACACATACAGAATAACATAAAACCCAAATAACTCCCTCCCCCCTTCAAAGATGCATGCTTAAGACCCCTGGCAAACAGGATGGGCTTGTGGGGCCTCTCCTTCCTCAGGGGATCTACCTGATTAACACAGAAATGGCAGGTGGGGGGGGGGGGCTCGCGGATGGTCCAACGAACAGGTGGCAGCCTCAGGCCTGTGGTCAGTGCGCAGGGACAGGTGCTTCCACCCTCTCCACCTGGAGGGGAAAAAAATGGGAAACTAGAGAAAGAGTCCTCTTGTAGAGAGGACTCTGTTCAGGGAAAGGGCCTCCAGGCCCAGCGGCTTCACCTTGCAACCATTCATGTGACGGTCACCTCAAGATCAGACTACTGCAACGCTCTCTATATGGACGCTGCAGCTAGTGCAAAATGCTGCGGCCAGGCTGTTGGTGGGTCTTCCTACACGGGAGCATGTCCAGCCTGTGCTAAAAGCACTGCACTGACTGCCAGTAACATACTGGATTCGTTTCAAGATGCTGGTTCTTACCTTTAAAGCCCTTTATGGTCAGGGGCATACCTTATGCATACCTGAGGGACCGCCTTTCCCCACACGTTCCCCAGAGAGCACTGTGATCAGGATCCCAGAACCGACTGGGCCTTCCTCCTAAGGAAGCCGGGATGGCTGTAACCAAGGCTAGGGCTTTCTTGGTGGTGGCTCCATTTTGGTGGAATGAGCTCCCGGAGGAGATCAGGGCCCTGCGGGACCTTCTACAGTTCCACAGGGCCTGTAAAGCGGAGCTCTTCCACCAAGCCTTCAATCATGGATCCGCCACCAACAGCTGAAGGATAGAGAGCCCATTCCCCTGGTGTCACTAACAACAGCGGCCTGTGCCACAACCGCCTGAAGGAAAGACCATGAGCCGACTGTGAGAAGGGACCGTGGAGCAGCAGCCCTCGCCAAACAACATAAGGATTAAGGATCACTAGCACTTTATTATATTAGATGGCTTTAGTAAGTTTTTAACCGTAAATTTTTGTAAATTATATATTCTATTTTTGTAAGCCGCCCTGAGCCGGCCCTGGCTGGCAAGGCGGGGTATAAGTCCAATAAATAAATAAATACCCCCTCCTTCTCTTTGATCCATAGGTGTACTGTTGGTGGGAGGAGGGGGCTCAGGAGCACCTCGTTGTTTTGCCTCCGGCCGCGGAGAGGAGGGGAGATGAGACCAGGAGGTGGAAGCCCTGCTCTCTCGTGGCCATCACTTGACTTCCCAAAGTGGTGTGTCTCCAATGGAGACTCTTCCTCATAAACAACATCTGCCTTTGACAGGACTTACTTTTGGCTGAATCACACATATGAGGAATTTAATATTCTGTGAGACTATAGTTGGCCTTTAGACATTCATATGTATGTTTAAAGTATCAAGGTTCAATGAAGTCAGGGAAGGCGATTGTCAGCCGCTCTGAGACTCCGAGTGAAAGGTAGGGTGTAAATCCAATCTCCTCATCATCCCCTCCCCCCCCGGAATGGTAGCCGTGTGATGTCTCTGTGTCTTCCCAACTATAGTTACACAAGTGACAGGAGACCTCTGGTGTACTGTCTGTATGGAATACCAAAGCTCTGGCTTTTTCTTCAAGCAAAAAGGAGCTACCTATATTATATGCTTACAGTATAATAGCTACATTTTTAATATAATGCTAACATAATTCTAGGGAGCTGCGGTGGCTCAAATGGTTAAGACGCTGAACTGCAGGCTGTGGAAGGTTGATAGTTCAGCAGTTCGAGACCCCAATTGCCACATGACGGAGTGAGCTCCCGTCTCTAGTTCCAGCTCCTGACCACCTAGCAGTTCAAAAGCAAGACATTGCAAGTAGATCAATAGGGACCACTTCGGTGGGAAGGTAACGTGCGCCTTGGTGTTTAGTCATGCCGGCCACATGACCACGGAAACGTCTTCGGACAGCGCTGGCTCTTCGGCTTTGAAACGGAGATGAGCACCGCAACCCTAGAGTCGGATTCGACTGGCTTTCAAGCAAGGGAACCTTTACTTTTACCTTAACATAATTCTGGAAGGGAAACTTGTATCTGTCACAGTGCAATCTTTTGCAGACTTACTCCACTCTGAGCCCATGGGTTTCAACTCTGCATTGTGAAACCCACATGCCTATGCCTATTTAAGTGTCATGGCTTTCCTAAAAGATTCTGGGATTCTTGGTTCGGGGTTGGTGATGATTCAGTATTGGGACCCCAGCCTTTCACTGAACGGCCATTTCCCAGGGCCCCCTGGGGAGAAGGAATGCTCCCGTTAGGTCCTTAGGGGAGCTCCTGCACACGTCTGTCTTCCAGTGGTTTCTCAGACTGCTGTCTCTGGATGCCAGGAGGCAATCAGTAGAGCCAGTAGGATCGATCCAGGCGGGCGGCCATGTTGGTCTGAAGCGGTAGCACAAAGTCGGAGTCCAGAGTGGCACCTTGAAGACCAACCAAGTTGTATTCTGGGTATGCGCTTCCATGCGCAAGGCACACTTCTTCAGAATCCATATTTCTTCTCCCCCTAGGTGTGACATGGGCTACTCCGGTGTCCGGTGTGGTGTTTCAAACTTAGACCTTGTCAAACGGCCCTTGAGCAAGGAGTACATAGTACTTGCAGTCCTGCTGAGTCTGTTTTTTTCCACTGCAGCTTCAGTTGCAATCTACTACTTCTACAGATGGTAAGCCACCCTCTCCCTTTATATTGTATTATATTATATTATTTATTTTCTTGACTTACAGCCCACCGTTCTCACTGAGACGCAGGACAGGTTACGCAATACAAAACAGTGCAATCCAATAGCAGGAGGTATCTGAAACGGTGCAGCAGGACTGGGATTAGAAAACTTGAAACAATGCAAAGAAGTACCAGGTGTGATATGCCAAACCATACAGAGAATGAAATGACCGAATGGGAACACAATGCAGTAGGAGTGGCATAAACACATAGATGGCAGTCCTGTTCCCTTTATAGAAGCACCTCCCTGGGGCCTTGCCATTCTACCAAAGCCCTGCTCCCGTTATTAGGAACGCCTGAACTAGGCTGCTTTGCACAGTTGTGGAATGACAGAAGTGAGGGAGCCTTCCTGTGGGGGAGGGAGTCACCCACAGTTGACAATGGGCAGCTACAGAATTTGCCCAGTTTACAGGCGTGCACCAATGTTCCCTCTAAGCTGTGGAGTCTTGTGAGCAAAAATTCTACTTTGTGAGCTACTGGCATTAAATTTGTGAGCGAGCGATTGGGCTGCTGCATAAATGAGTTTGCTCTGGAGCCATCCTTCCTGAGCTAAGACAGAAATGTGTGAGCCGGAGGCTAAAAAACTGTGAGCTGGCTCGCACTAACTCAGCTTAGAGGGAACACTGGTGTGCACCTTGAGAAAGCTTTGCTCAGATGGGTGAAGCTGTTGCGGTGGAACATAGCAGGAGAGGCGATCCAGCAGATTGGTTGGCATGAGGCCATAGGGCTAAAACACAGTCGTAATCCAAGCTGCCTCACCCTCATCATGAAGACCTCATCATCTTCCATCATGAAGATCTCCATTACACTCTTTTTAAAAAGAAACGAAGTCTCTGTCTCCTTCTCTTGTGAAGATACAGCTTTTGCCTCAAATCTCCATGAGGAAAGGGGTTAGAGACTTTTTAAAAATGAAAGCTGGGAATTCAGAAAACCCGCTTTAACGATCACTGCAACGCTATGGCAATAGATCAGTATTTTAGGGCCATTTTTAAAGGGGGGGCTGTTGTCAGGTTCCCAGTCAAATCACTCTCCACACACACTTTCTTTCGTGAAAGGTTTATTTAGAGATATGAGATGCTGGTGGGTTCAGAGTCTTTGTCGGGACTGAGGTGCCAAGGCGGGAAAGCAGCGTATAATCACAACCCCAAAATTCCATTCATACATGCCAGCAACACTACAAAGACCGTGAAAGCTGTACGGTCAATCACTAGCCAAACACAGACTCTACTTCAAGGACACTTCCCATGTGAAAGATGTCTTTGAGGCGCCATGGAAGAGTGACCGAAGCCGGCCTCCCTAAACTCTACCGGCACTCACCACCCCCCCCCAGGAACGCAGTGGCAGGCGAGGGCAAGCGATAAGGGTGCAGGGATAACAAAGGGTTGGGTGCGGGATACAGAGAGCATGAATGCACTGGGCAGAAACACAACAGGTGCAGTCGGTCAAGTGCCCGAGCCTGACACCTGTGACAGCACCCTCCCTTGAGAATACTCATTGTTTAAGCCACGTGCGAGAGAAAATAAACTGACTCCACATGGACGTGCAGCAGAACCCTGCCCAAACTGATTCTAGTGCTTGGGGATCCACTCCCAAGAAAGTCAGAAGGAACCTGGATGTGCAGAAAAGGTCTGTGTTAGAGAGTTGGTCCTGATTGGGCAGAGCTGCAGTTTCTGGGGAGTGTGGACCCTTCGTGGCACAACCCGTGAAACGATCCCTAGTGGGACCTACAACACAGGAGCCTCTGACAATCTGTACGCTTTTGGAAGGTGGCCAGCTCTGCCATTGAGCCTACCTTGCTCATGCGAATGTGGCCCCTCCGGACATCGGAACTTTGTTTTGCCAACTCTGACAGCTTTCGTAGCACGACGTTAGAGTCGTGTGCTCAACTTCTGCGTGTCAGCTAAGACGCAGGAAGCAAATGCATTGAGAAAGATGGCAACCCTGCCTGAAGTTGGTGCGGAGTGCTGCTGTGCACACTCCCAGCCAGAGAGGGCTCTCCCCTCACATGTGGCCCATCCGTTTTGCTTGTCTGAAGCCTGGCACTGGTGGGTTAGCACTTTGCCATCCTTTTGTGGTTGGGCTTCGTGTAGACCGTGGCCCATACAGATTGCTGTTATCTTCAGTCGCTGTCTTTCTGGTTTCTTACAGGTTACTGTTGTGAAAGGCCCCGTATGCATAGTGTCACCACACACGAGGAAGGGAATCTGGATTAAAACAATCCAATCAAAATTAGTTTGGGGGCTGTGGGGGTCAGTGTTCCCTCTGAGTTAGTGTGAGCTGGCTCACGGTTTTTTAGCCTCCGGCTCACAGATTTTTGTCTTAGCTGAGGAAGGACGGTTCCAGAGCAGACTAATTGATGCAGCAGCCAAATCGCTTGCTCACAACTTTAATAATGCCGGTAGCTCACAAAGTGGAATTTTTGCTCACAAGACTCAACAGCTTAGAGGGAGCATTGGTGGGGGTACTACTATACAAAGTAGTAACCAGCTTTTAAACAGTGAAAAATGCACCACTTCCAATTTCAGAAGTTGTCAAAGGAAACGGGGGGAGTGGAACATGAGCCAGAACAGCCAACAGAACAGGGGACTCTCCATCTCCTCTCCCTCCCCTTCAAACATCAGAGAAGAAGCTAGAGAAGCCCGCCTGGTGCTCTCTGCAAGATGGAGCCCATTGGTATACATAAATAGCCCCTCTACTATTCCAGTGTGTGTTTAGAAGTGCAACTGGGGAACTCTCAAGGATTTGTGGGGGATCATCTCCTTTTCCCCTCCCCTACTATTGCTTTCCGTTCACTGAAAGCTCCTATAGCTTTTCCCTCTTTCCTGTTTCTTTCTCTGCTTTCCACCCGCCCACCAGGTGGCCCCGTCTTCAGCCAATGGATCAGGTCAGGCTGGGCCCGGTTGCATCATGGTGCCGGCCAGGCTTACCCCCCTTGTGTGGTGTAGAACCTACAAAGTGGGGAACTCTCAAGGATTTGTGGGGGATCGTCTCATTTTCCCCTCCCCTACTATTGCTTTCCCTTCACTGAAAGCTCCCTTCACTGAAAGCTTCACTGAAAGCTTTCCACCCGCCCACCAGGTGGCCCCGTCTTCAGCCGATGGATCAGGTCAGGCCCTGGCCGGGTTGCATCATGGTGCCGGCCAGGCTTAGCCCCCTTGTGTGGTGTAGAACCTACAAAGACTGGCAGGGGGATACTTTGCTTCCCTTTCCCTTTATTCCCCTTTCCTTTCCCTCCTTCTGGCGCCCCCCTATCCTCAGCTATTCCTGCTTCCTTCTCTCCTTCCCATCCAGCAACTAACCAAACCGCAATCTGTTCTCTGTCTTCGGCTATATTTATTACTTATACCCTGCCTTTCTCCCCCAAAGGGGATCCAAAGAGGCTTACATCATTTCCCCCTCCTTCATTTTATCCTCACAAGAACCCTGTGAAGATCTTTCAGCTGAAAGTGTGTGACCGGCCTAAAGTCACCCAGTGAGCCTCCGTGGCAGAGTGAGGGATCTGAACCTGGGGCTCCCAGACCCTAGTCTGAAACTCTGGCCACTATGCCACACTTATCTTTCATGAAGTGGCTTATGGGCCTCGGTGAATCATGCAAGCCTCATAGTATCAAGTTGCCTGGCCTCAGTGAGTCCTCCTTCAAAGGCCACAACAGCCCTGGAAAGTACCTGCTCTTCCCCACTGCCTTTTACAAACAGAAACCATGGCTTGAAGGCTGGCAATACTGTTGTGCATGCCTGGCAATGACCAGTGAGGGCATTCTTAAAGCTACAGGGGCTGCTTCTATTATTTTCGGGGGTTTAACCTCCCCCCAATTTTATTTTATTTTTAAGATTTCAGATTTTTCTGCAACCTGGGATATCCACAAATGTGGCCATGTTGAGAATTATATATATTGATAAAGATGCTTTTTGTTCCTTTTTTAATCTTCACAGGTACCAGGAAAAAAATGGAAGATTTCCCGCAAACAGAAACTACGAAGAAGTTGCAAGAGAGACTGAAAAAGACGGAAAGCTGCTTCACGTGTGAACGGAAGGATTCCTGAAAGCCACTTATTTAATATTAAATACTTATTTTATTAATACTATTTATATTCTAAACAAAGCAATTTCAACGTGATACTGATCAGAATATACATACAGGTCAAAAGGCTTATTTTTATAAAGTGCAGGCCTAGCAATGTCCAGTGAGGGCATTCTTAAAGCTACGGGTGCTGCTTCTATTTGTTTCGGGGGTTTAACCTCCCCCCAATTTTATTTTATTTTTAAGATTTCAGATTTTTCTGCAACCTGGGATATCCACAAATGTGGCCATGTTGAGAATTATATATATTGATAAAGATGCTTTTTGTTCCTTTTTTAATCTTCACAGGTACCAGGAAAAAAATGGAAGATTTCCCGCAAACAGAAACTACGAAGAAGTTGCAAGAGAGACTGAAAAAGACGGAAAGCTGCTTCACGTGTGAACGGAAGGATTCCTGAAAGCCACTTATTTAATATTAAATACTTATTTTATTAATACTATTTATATTCTAAACAAAGCAATTTCAACGTGATACTGATCAGAATATACATACAGGTCAAAAGGCTTATTTTTATAAACAATTTTAATATTTTTATTTGTGTTTTTAGCTTTTTTTTTTGCAGCCTTGGGCAACACAGTCTTGCATTGTGAGACATATTATATATGATTTAGGTGGGTAGCCGTGTTGGCGTGAAGCAGCAGAATAAAATTTTGAGTCCAGTAGCAACTTTAAGACCACCAAAGTTTAAGTCTGGATAGAAGCACTTTGTGGGCAGGGACACGAAAGCTCTGTTCCCAGAATGAAACTTTGTTGGTCTTAAAGGTGCCACTGGACTCAAAGATTATATACGAAGATACAAAGAATGGCCCTTGTATTTGATGCACTGTGAAACTTTGTATTGTTTGTGTGAATAACTTGAACATTTGTATTAAACATCCTAGGAAGATTGATAGTGAAACGATGTGAGGGCCCCCCCCCCAACTCACTGTAGTCCGTGGCACGTGGCTCGAAGGAGAGAGCCCCTCTCTTCTTGAGACTGCAAGCGCCTTGGGCCTCCTGACGCGGGTCGGTGGGTGGTGCAGTCACTAAATGGCTGCCACAAGAGGTGGAGCCAGCCACCTCCTGTGGCAGCCATTTAGTGACTCGGGCAGGAACTCTGCAGAATTTCAGGTAGAGGCTCTGCTTAGCGGGATGTCTTTCAGAATGAAGACAGTGTTTTAAAAATATTTTTTTCACGTGCACGCAGCTTCTCTCCAGGCCTACAGTGAATCAGGCCCACGCGCTGAGGTGGCATCTGCGGCTGAAGCAACATTTTAAGAATCTGCACAGCCAATCAGGAGCTGGACAAAAGCCCCCCCCCCCCGGGCCTTGCCCACTTTCTAAACATGCTTGGAGAGTGCTGTCAGAACCCACAGCTAACAACGAAGTACACGCATTCAGGAGCGGTTCTACTTTTATTGCAAAGCTATAGATGCAGTAACACAGGCCTTGTTGGTAAGAAAGGGGGCAATCAATAGAACCAAATAGGGTATAGGGTATTCGTATGCCCCCCCCCCCCCATGGCATGGGCCAATAAGGTACCCCCCGCGCGCCCGCACGGGCTGAGTTAGGAAACGGTTAGGTGGCGAAAGGTGGGAACCAGGAATCTCTCACGGTGGATACCTCTAGCCAATACAACGTCCTCCTGCACATCTGTAGAGCTAAGCGTTACAGCCAAGGGAGAACAGCAGGGAAAGGAAGGCAATAGCAATTAACAAGACACAGAATGACCTCCCCAACCCCCTATGGCAGCATAGCTGACAAGTGCCCGGAAAGATTCCCCCTGGCAGCATTGCCCCCCCCCCCCGAGGCACCACGTTGGGGGGCCCTGGCATACAGGCACACGATGCGGAAGTGCTTTTCCCACTCTGCTTAGGGGAGCCTGGGGTTAGTGGGGAGTTAAGCTGGTGTTTCTCGACAAGAAGGCTATGAAGAGTGGGTAGAGAAAGTTCCACCGGGAAATGTCTGGTTTTTGGGAGGAAGCAACTTACCCTCCCTCTTCTCCTGCCTCCTCCTGGCTGAATGAGGGCTGGAAGCGGGGCGGCCGGAAGCAGGGGGCGGGGCTTCGTCATGTGCCCCGCCCCTGTACCCTCACCCGGAGGAACTGCGATCCCCCACGATCCCCCCCGAAATGACCTCTGGTCTTTTCCCAATTTCCATTCACAGGAGGTCCAAAGTGCCCTAGCCAGGTAGGATATGTGCCCAAGTCCTCTGTCAGCCAGAGAATTTCCACAGTGAGTTTGTTAATGGGGAAAAGTGTATCTTAGAGGTAGGAAGTGTGGAAACTATTTGTCTGATGGCTCAAATATGATATTGTTATTCCTGGGGGTGATCTGGTGTTGAGGAACGGCACAGGACCGTTTGAACCGACACCAACAGAAGCTGGACCAACAGGCCCCCTTATTGAAACCTTTGATTCTTGAGGACTAAACACGATAATTCACATCTGTGGGCAGGGTGTGTTAACCCCACAAGTGTTGCCATTTCTCTGCCACCTTGGTCAGTTTCTGGGGCACAGTTTTGTGCATTTTATGTATTAACCTTCTTGCTTTGAGGCCTAATGGAGCTGCGGTGGCTCAAGTAGTTAAGACGCTGAACTGCAGGCTGTGGAAGGTCAGTAGTTCAGCGGTTCAAGACCCGGGTGCCGCAAGACAGGGTGAGCTCCTGTCTCTAGTTCCAGCTCCTGCCAACCTAGCAGTTCGAAAGCAAGAAATTGCAAGTAGATCAATAGGTGCCACTTTGGTGGGAGGGTAACAGCGTTCCGTGCGCCTTGGTGTTTAGTCATGCCGGCCACATGACCACGGAAACGTCTTCGGACAGCGCTGGCTCTTCGGCTTTGAAACGGAGATGAGCACCACAACCCTAGAGTCGGATTCGACTGGCTTTTGAGCAAGGGAACCTTTACCTTTACCTTTGAGGCCTAACAGTTTCAGTTCCATCACAACTGTTTAAGTAGTTCAAGACCCAGGTGCCGCATGACGGAGTGAGCTCCCGTCTCTAGTTCCAGCTCCCGCCAACCTAGCAGTTCGAAAGCAAGAAATTGCAAGTAGATAAATAGGTGCCACTTTGGTGGGAAGGTAACAGCGTTCCGTGCGCCTTGGTGTTTAGTCACGCCGGCCACATGACCATGGAAATGTCTTTGGACAGTGCTGGCTCTTCGGCTTTGAAACTGAGATGAGCACCGCAACCCTAGAGTCAGATTCGACTGGCTTTCGAGCAAGGGAACCTTTACCTTTACCTTTGAGGCCTAACAGCTTCAGTCCCATCACAGCTATTTAATACTTCCTTAAAGCATCTTTGCCATCCTTGGTTCAGAAGCAGGCTCAAGGCAGCTTACAATGAAGAGATACAATCAAAATCTGCAAGGCCCAGGCTGTCGTCGGAAACAAATAATCGGCTCTGTATCAAGCTCACTGAACGTGGGAGGGGGCGTTTCTAAAAAGACTCTCCTCCTCCTGTGACCGCCGGCATACCTGTGTGTGTGGAGTGGCTGGGCACTGGCCTGCAGGTCCTTCGGTGTGGCCACGTGCTATGAGGACACTGGCATGGGGAGCAGAAGGGCAGGGCCTCTTGAAGCCACCCACAAAGAAAACTGCACGAAGCACTGCCCCCTTCTGCCTCCCTTGCCCCCTAGGGGATGCTTCAGAGAGACACTAGGGCTTTGGGTGGGGTACTGATGCAATGGATCCGTGCGGTGGCTCAAGTGGTTAAGACGCTGAACTGCAGGCCGTGGAAGGTCGGTAGTTCAGCAGTTCAAGACCTGGGTCTGCCGCATGACGGAGTGAGCTCCCGTCTCTAGTTCCAGCTCCTGCCAACCTAGCAGTTCGAAAGCAAGAAATTGCAAGTAGATAAATAGGTACCACTTCCGTGGGAAGGTAACAGCGTTCTGTGCGCCTCGGTGTTTAGTCACGCCAGCCACATGACTGTGGAAACGTCTTCGGACAGCGCTGGCTCTTCGGCTTGGAAACGGAGATGAGCACCGCAACCCTAGAGTCGGACTCGACTGGCTTTTGAGCAAGGGAGACCTTTACTTACTGATGCAATGGTATGGGGGGGGGGTTTCTGCAGGGCTGGGGAGGTTTAGGAAATTAAATCTGACCGGTGACCAGAAGAGAGCAGAGGAGGCGCCGGGTGAGCCTCAAGGGGGAGGGCATTCCACGAACAAAGTGATACCAGAGAGAGAATGCCCACCTCCGGACAGGAGAGCTCAGCGGGCAGGGCTTGGGAGGCCAGTCTTAACCGGCAGGCTGGAAAGGGCAGGAGGAGGCAGTCCTTTAAGTACCCCCCCCCCCCCCCGGGCCAGCCACGAAGGGCCTTCGAGGTAAGAACTGGGACTTTGAACTGTGCCCAGAACTAGGCAGGTGGCCGTCGCAGTTCTTCCAGCACGGGGGTGGGAGGATCTCTGCATCTTGACAGCAACCTGGCTGCCGCACTTTGGACCACCTGACATTTCTAGACAGTTTTCAGAAGGCGGCCCTGCACAGAGTGCACGATAGTAATCTATGTTGGCTGTGAACAGAGCATGGGTCGACGTAGCCAGATCCCACTGTCTGAGGTAGGGCTACCAGAGCGCAGGAAACCCAACGCGCGTGCCACAGAGGAAACCAGAGATTCCAGTCAGGATCAGGTCAGGATCCAGCAGCAACCCCAAGCTACAAACTTGCTCCTTCAGGGACCCGGGAGACATATATGGACTATTCAGTCCTTAAGCTGCTTTGCGATTGACTAGCAGCACCTCGGCCTTGTCCAGACAGCACTTCCGTTTACTGGCCCTCGACCCCGTCATCCCCTCCTCCAGGCATCTGGGCTGTCACAGCCCCCCCCCTGTCAGGGAGAAAAAGAGCCGGGTGACCTCTGTGTATGGCTGGCTCCTCTTTCCAGAGCCCCAGACCATTTCTCCAGTGATTTCATGTGGGTGCTGAAGTACGCGGGACAAGGGGGAGCCCTGCAAGACCCAGCGGCAGTGTTCCCTCTCAGCTGAGTGAGTGCGAGCCAGCTCAGCTTTTTATAGCCTCCGGCTCACACATTTTTATCTTGGCTCAGGAAGGGATGGCTCCAGAGCAAACATCTTTAG